AAAGTAGAAAACAGAAAGCTAGTCGCGTTTCTGACTAGTCATAGTACGTACTGATCGTAGTAATAGATTCATGATATTAGTATAAACATTCATGAATTTTTGTGTCACGTTCCAAAAATTCGAGTATAATATTAAAAGCAAAATACTTGTATATTCATTAGATGAAATTCTCTATTTAAACCCTATTGAAAAAGTGAAATTGCACGAAGATCCGTGATCTAACGATGATATTATCTATGCAAATCTACAAACTGAGTGGTTTGTCAACATGCTTAAACCGACAATCATCGTTAACATTTCACACGACACGTAAATGCGCCCCTGTTATTTATGTAAAGTACTTAGAGGAACCTCGTGTTCACGAGCTACCAAAGGAAAAAGGTATACGAGAGAGGGTGAAGAAAAACGACGATGTGGAGAAAAGTAGCAATGGGAAAGAGAAGGAGCGCGAGACAGAAACGGGTTATAGATATCCAGGTCAAACGACCGGCGCGGCAACGCGAGCCAGTGAATATTTCTTTCACGTTTACTTATCAATTGCTCGATTGTCTATGCACAATAAATGTAAACTCACGCGAGAAGTTACGCAGCCGTGAATAATGATTTTTAAATCTCTCGTGGAATATTGTATAACGCTGACGCGATCGATTGAAGAGAAAAAAAGAAAAAACAGGAAAAGAAAAAAAAAACAGAAGAATGGAAGAAGGCAGAAACAGAAGCGTAAGGACAGTTTATCACTATGTACGCGTACATACATACGTACGTACATATGTGTGTGTGTGTTATAAGCGCGTGTGTAGAATAATGGCAATAGACGAATAACGAACAGTCGCGTAAACTCAATAGGAAACAAATATATCGTTTTACTGCCTTATAGATTTTCGAACCGGCACCCGTTGCGGTGTATCGGTATTCATTATTTGCCCTCGTAATTTTACCAGTGTTTCCTTCGTTCCACCGGCATCGTTGCAATTCTCTAGTTTATCGTAATCATTTCACCCGTTCATAACAGACATATTTATGCTGCAATTAACTCTCGTTAGCGGAAAGCCCATCAAGTACATGACTACGCCGGTATATCAGCCACACTACACCGCGGGCTGATTTCGTTATGCCGTTGCAACGTGCTGCCGCAATCCTCCGCGCGGAATTAACAATGCGACCCTTCCCTAGTTGCCGCCTCAATGACCCACACTTAAGCACTTTATTATTATTATTGCTTAAGAGTAATTATCTGACAAAGCTTGCGGATAGATTTTTATAAAATTATTTCGCGTCGGAAAGTTAGATACGCTTTTGCGGTTGTGCAACGATCGAGAAACTTGCCGACAAGTGCAACTTCTCGACATTGTTGTTCGTTAACGATTCTCTCATAAACAATAACTGTAGTTTCTCGTTACCAC